TTATGCTGAGAAATAGGAGGAAAACAATGCCGCGAAAATGCGAATCGACTTGTTAATAACGTGCTTGCTGCTGCGCGGTCCCTGCGCGCCCGCGGGGGCTCCCACCGTCCGGCGTGGGGGTGAGCGGACCCAGCCGGCAGCGCTGGGGGGTTTGGGGAGGTGTGAGCGGCGGGGGATGGAGGTCTCCCCTTTGCGTGGGGGGACCGCAACTGATGGGGGGAGCTGGACGCTCCAAAGGTGTGTGGGTACCCGGGGGCCGTGTCACGGACACGAACACGCAGGAGAGATGCAGCGTAGCCGGTGCCGGCTGGAAGGCAAGCCGGCAGGCTTCCGTGCAGAAAAGGAGTTAAACCCCGCCGTTGTCCTTTGATTTAGGAAACGGCTCATCCAATTCAGTTCCAGATTATTCAGGGGCAGACTGCCTCTCTCGCTCCCTCTCTCCCCACACCAGCCCAAACATCTTGAAGTAATCAGCAGCTGAGAAGGGAGACGTCCCCCTGGCATCTCAGGTTAAAGAAGGAGGTCCAGGAAAATGTGGTAGAGCCATTACAAGAAACCTGAGATGCATTCATCAGAGACTCCAATTGCCATCGCATTAGGATTGATTAGAGACCAGCAGTACCGTAATGACCCGGAAAGAGGGGCATACGGGGATTATTAATATCAGACTCCTTTAAAAAAAAAAAAAAAAAAAAAAAAAAAAAGAAAGGGAAAAAAAAAAAAAAAAGAGAGAGAGAGAGAGAGGGAAAGAAAAAGAGGGAAGGAGGAGGGAAAATTTAAAAAACAAAAGCGCATCGCGGGGCTGCGGCTCGTATGCAGACTTACCTGAGGAGCACAGGCACCGGCCAGCCGCACAGACGATAACGTACCTAACTTGTGGGGAAGAAAAAGCAAACCACCATGGAAAAACCCCACCTTTGGACCCCCTGAAACCGCCCGCTCCCACGCACGGCTCGCACCGACACTTCCCAGCGCCGCGGCCCCGGGGCTGGGGGGGGGACAGCCAGGGGCCCTCGCCCGCTGCCGGGGTCACCCAAAGGAAGCTCGTCCCCGGGCCGGCGACAGCAAGGACAAGTTAAGGAGCCTCCAAAGAGGAGAAAAGAGAACTCGGTGGCTCGTCTCCTTCTCAGTTCCCTGCGCCAAAACAAATCAGCCCCTCCTGGTCTCGGTTTAAATGTAGCTCACTGGATAATTAACTCCATCTTTCCAGCCCTGCTTTAACTGTTTATTTAGTGTCACCCTGTATTACCATCACTAGCACTTTCCTCTGAACAGGAGGAGCTGGAGGGTTTCACCTCCCAAAAGGAAATTCTTCGTAGCTTAAAAGAATCGGCATCCAGGAGGTACATTAGCGAGCAGGAAAGGGGGGAGAACGGCGGGGGGGGTGGGGGGGGTGGGGGTGTTCGACTGCAAAAGCAGAACAAACTAAGGGTGTGAGGGGGACAGGGACAGCAAGACGTATCGGCCCTCGGAGAGGAAAAAAACCCAACGCGTGATCACCTCTAATCCTTTGAAAAATGTCCCGGTAAGTGCGCGAAGAAAGAGCCCTTTGTGCCCCGGGGCTCGCCCCCGGCCCGGCCCGGCCCGGCCCGGCGCTCGTCCCCTCCCAGCCCCGGCCCAGGCTGACCCCGGCGGCGGTGGGGGGACCCCCGGGGCGCGGGGGGGGCAGGGACACCGGCTTTGTTTTTACAGGTGTCTGGAGGGCAATTTACTAACAAGTAATTAAAGGTTGCACCGGTTTGCAGGCGCGTCGGGCCAAAGGCTCCCGCAAGAGAAGAGCGATGCATATGGAGAGGGGTTTGTCCTTCCTCATTAAAAAATAGAATAATAAAGGAGAGGGAAGGGAGGGAGAGAAAGCAAATACAAATCCTTTATTGTTTAGGAATAAGCCGGGGAAGCTGGCTGTCTCCCCTGCGCCTCGCATTCGGCAGGGAAGGCAGCGCGGATCCGGTATCACGTTGCAGATCCTCACTCGAGATAACGAAATGCGATCTATTTTTCAGAACAGCAAGTGGATGGGAAAGGAGCCCTCTACAACACAAACCTCATTGACTTAATGGGCCGGTTTTGGATTTCGCCTTCGAAGGGATCGGAAAGCGGCAGCGTTGTGTTACTGCCCCGCCGGCCCCCAGCCTCCAGCCCCGCTTATCATCACGCCGAGACGGGGCTCCGAAAAAAAATGCCGCTGATTTTATTTTGTCGCGCTATTTGTTTCTTCCAGACCCTCACACTTGAAGGGGAAAAAAAAAAAAATATTTTTGATTGGGGAAGAGCTTTATTTCTAACGTCGAGGGGGAGATGGGAGTCGTGTTGGGGTTATTTTTTCTGTTGTGTTTGGTTTTTCCGGAGAAATCGAGGAAAACCCGCAGAGCGTTGCGTGGGATCCCTCTTCATCCCCGCTCTGTGCTGTATAACGCCGCATCGAATAAATAAGCAAATCCATGAATTTCCCGCACAAAGGGAGCCGGACGCTGCCCCGGCAAGCGGGGCAAGGCGCGGAGGCCCCCGCGGCCGCGCACCGGTCCCCTGGGCCGGCCGCCTCCTGCTCTCCGCGGGCGCGGAGGTGCCAGGCCGCGGGGCGCGGAGCGGGCAGCGGCTGAGCCCGCCGGGCTGCTCCTTCTCTGCCGAAAAATAAACCACCGAGGAGCGGCCGGCGGCAGCTCCGCGTCGTTCGGTTGTTGTTTAGTTATTTGCATCTGCGTTTGGGGTTTTTTTGGTGTTTTGTTTTTTTTTGTTTTGTTTTGCTTTTTTGTTTTGTTTTGGTTTGTTTTGTTTTTGAGCGGCTCGAAACCATTTTTTTCTGGGTGACTTTCGAGGGATGAATGGGATGAGATGGTCTGGGAATTCCTTTACCTCTTTCCGTAGACTAAAGTGAAAGGTTTCCAATTTTTAAGAAAAGCAGCGCCAGGCAATAATTAATATTGATGCTGACTGGTTCTCGGCTGCAGTGTGTAACTCTCAGGTAGACCCCGGCGAGTCTGTCCCCTCCTTGTGTGAATTTTGGTGACACGGAAGAATAAAGTCCCGCTCGGGGAAGCCTCGGCTCAGCCCTCGCCCGTCCCTGTCAGCTCCGTGGCCGGCTGCATCGCAATAATTTGCTTATTACCAGCAAGAGCGGTGTTTGTTTTGGTCGGCCTTTTAGAGGAAGGGAGGGGGAAAAAAAAAAAAAAGGGGGGGGGGGAAGAGATGTGAGGGCAAGAGAAAACCGCTCTCGTTAAAATGGCAAGGAGCTTCCTCAGCTCCGCTTTGCATTTCGCTCCTCCTCATTCTGAAGGTATAAGCCCTCGGGTCCGTGCTTTTCCCGAACTGAGGACCTCATTAGATATTAAAACCAAGAAAAAAAATAATAAAATATATATTAAAAAACCCAAACAAACAGTAAAAAATAATAACCTTAAAAAGGAGGGATGGGGCAGCCCATCTCTCGGGCTGGGCAGGGCACGGCTCCTCCAGGACGCGGCTGCGGGCGGCGGCGAGCCCATGCGTTATAATTCTGCGCACTTGCTCCAGACTTTAGGGTATTAGTTGATTTTAGAGCCGGGTTTAAGGCTCCGTTCCGGTCCCCACACAGCTGCCTTGTCAATAAGGATCTGTTCCAAGCAGACATTCCTTCTGGGAGGACATTGCAGCTCTTTAAGACTTCATCTGCAACATCATAAGTACTAAAATAAAATGGCAAGGGAAAATTACCAGACACATGGTCATGGGATATGGAAGCGCCCTGACTCCAGCGCACATAGTAAAGTCACTGTACAGACTGGGTGGCAGGGGCTTATTTTAAACAGCCCCGAGACGCGGTGTACATGGGAAAAACAACAATCCGGATTTAGGAAAATATCGGGACCGGCCTTTCCCACACCGTATCGCGGGCAGGGAGCGGGCAGGGACCGCCGGCGGCCCCGGCTCGGAGCCCTTCTCCTCCTCGGCCACGAACGAGCTGCTCTTAACTTTCAGCATTTAAAGTCAAATAAATCCGAACGTCTTTAGTGAAGACAAACAGGTTTTAAAGAGCCCCGCGACGGTTATTAGCACCCGCGGAGCGAACTCGTTCTTGAATCAAAAGCGTCCTGGAGTGTGCTTAAAATACTGGTTTCGACTTATCTAATCAAAGATAAATACAGTCATAAAGACACCCTCTTCCCACTGCTCCCCTGCCCTTATCTCACCGCATTGTCCTCATCTCCCAGCCCGTCCTTGCTACTGACAATAGATTATCTTTGCTGAGCGAGCCTAATTGTTTTCTAATTTTTAAAATAATTGCTTTTGAGCGAGGTGTGCAAATGAGGATTAGGCTCATTAAAGCGCCGCCGGTCGGTGCAGTTTTGCTGCCCGCCGCCTGCACGGCATCCGTGGGGTCTCCGTGGGGCTGGCCCCGCCGGGGACCCCCCCAACACCCCCCGTGGCGGAGCGGAGGGCAGGAGGGGGCGCACGGCCCCCACGTGTTATTTAGCTATTCACTAAAGCATTATTTATTCATCCCCAGCATTAAGGTAATTAAATACGGGCTGGCTTGGCAGGGGATGGCTGAGGGGAAAGCGGGGGGGGGGTGTGTGTGAGGAGGAGTTTTGGGGGAACAAAAAAAAAAAAAAAAAAAAAAAAAAAAAAGAAGAGTGGAAGAAAGACAGACAAAGTCTTCCGGGAGCGGCTTCCCCGGGGATGCGCCCCGGGGGGGTGCGGGGCGGCGGGGCTCCCCCCACAGCCGGCGGCGGCGGGGCCGCACCCGCGCAGAGGCGGCGGCGGGAAGCGCAGCCGCGGAGGCCGGGCTCGGGCCGGGTCCCCGCCGCCAGGCCCCGCCCGCCCGTGCCGAGGCTCTGCCCGCCGGGCCGGGCTGGGCCGGGCTGGGCCGGGCTGGGCCGGGCTGGGCTGGGCTGGGCTGGGCCGGGCCGGGCCGGGCCCGCCGCGGCGGGGGCCGAGCCGCGGGCGCCCAATCAGCGCGGCGCGGGGGCTCGGGCGCTTTAAGCGCGGCGGCGGCGGAGCGGGGACAAAGTTTCCCCCCCGGCGCCGCGACGAGCATCCCCCCCGCTCGCCCGCTCGCCCCCCGGTTGCCGCCGAGCCTCCCCGCTCTGGGGCCGGGACCGGCACCGGCACCGGGCCCGGCGGGCGGCTGCCCCCCGCCCCTCCGCCGCCGCGCTCCCGCGGGGTGCCCTCCTCCTCCTCCTCCTCCTCCTCCTCCTCCTCCTGCCGCCGCCGCCGCCGCGCTCGGCCATGTCGATGCTGCCGTCGTTTGGCTTCACGCAGGAGCAGGTCGCCTGCGTCTGCGAGGTGCTGCAGCAAGGGGGGAACCTGGAGAGGTTGGGCCGGTTCCTCTGGTCGCTGCCGGCCTGCGACCACCTGCACAAGAACGAGAGCGTCCTGAAGGCCAAGGCGGTGGTGGCCTTCCACCGCGGCAACTTCCGCGAGCTCTACAAGATCCTGGAGAGCCACCAGTTCTCCCCCCACAACCACCCCAAGCTGCAGCAGCTCTGGCTGAAGGCTCACTACGTGGAAGCCGAGAAACTGCGGGGCAGACCCTTGGGCGCCGTCGGCAAATACCGCGTCCGCCGAAAATTCCCTTTGCCCCGCACCATCTGGGACGGCGAGGAAACCAGTTACTGCTTCAAGGAGAAATCCCGGGGCGTGCTGCGGGAATGGTACGCCCACAACCCCTACCCGTCTCCCCGGGAGAAGCGGGAGCTGGCGGAAGCCACCGGGCTCACCACCACCCAGGTCAGCAACTGGTTCAAGAACCGGAGGCAGCGGGACCGAGCGGCGGAGGCGAAGGAAAGGTACGTGCCACCCCCCCCATCCCCTCCTTGACCCCCTTTTCTCCCCCATCTCCCGTGCGGGGGAACGGCGGATGGGATGGGAGCGGCGAAAATACTTCACTCCCTCCAAATCCTTTTTTTTTTTTTTTTTTTTTTTTTTTTTTTTTCTCCTAAGCCGCGTCGCGTTTTACCCCTCCGTGGAAACCCAAGTGGGTTTTCCACCCGAGATACACCGCACCCCGCTCTCTGCCGCCCGACCCCACCTGCCCAGGGTGTGTGTGTGTGGGGGGGGGGGGGGGGGGGAATAACGAGCCCCTCACCGGCCTCTCCAGGCCGCTCCGCCGCCTTTGTTTGCTGCTTGCCGTCCCGAAGAAACCGGGAGCGACGCGGTCCCGGAGCCTCCGGGGAAGCGGCCGGGATGCCGGGTAGGGCAGCTCCGAAGGCTGGAGGAAGAGAGAGATGCAGCCCCGGGATGGGAAGGGTAGAAACCGGAGGGAGACCGGGCTGGGGACGCTCTGGCCGGGCCGAGCCGCCGTCCTGCCCGGGCTGGCCTCGGGACGGGCCGGCGGCTCGACCCGCCGAAGCAGAGAACCACGGAAGGACATCGCCCCACTTTTTCTCTCCTCCAGTAACCTCCTTACCGAGCTTCCTAGAGAAAATCCCTCACCCTGCCCGTCCCCGGGCCGCTCTTTCATTTTTAATTAAAAAGAGAAAAATACTCCCCTCCAATTTTTTTCTCCTCACCTAAATTACCGGGCTGTGCGGTGTACGCCTATTTATAGGAAGGTAAAAAGAAATGAAGGCGATCCGTTATGAAAATACTAGGGGTTTTTTTTTTTTTTTTAATTATTATTTTATTTTTTTTCCCCGGGGAGAGGCAGCTGCTCCCACAATGAAATAAAACGCAAAAGGTTTACTGGGACATTAGCGCAGCGCCCATCCCCGGCGCCTCCTGCCCGCCGTAACATCCCCGTTGTGGGGTTTTTTTTGTGTTCTGTTTTTTTTTTTTTTTTTTTTTTTTTTTTTTTTTTTCTCCTTTCCGCAGGGAGAACACGGAAAACAACAACGCGGCCACCAACAAACCGAACCAACTCTCGCCGTTGGATGGGAGCAAACCCCTCATGTCCAGCTCCGAGGAAGAGTTTTCTCCTCCCCAAAGCCCGGATCAGAACTCGGTCCTGCTCTTGCAGGGAAACCTCAGCCACGCCAGGAGCTCCGGCTACTCCCTGAGCGGCTTAGCCGCATCCCAGACCCCTCACAGCCTCCAAGGTCACCAGCTCCAGGACTCGCTGCTGGGACCCCTCACGTCCAGCCTGGTGGATCTGGGATCCTAAAGGCCCGTGGCGGGCGGCCGGAGGATCGGGAGAGGAGGTTTTGCTCGGGGACAGAGGCTCTGGGTTGTATATAGAGGACAGCACCCGGTTTTACAGTTCACCCGCCAATTCTCGACAGGACTCTCGGCTCTTTTCACACAACCTCACATCGGCTCCTGGTCCAGTTCCCTCCCCAGCGTTTCCCACTATCACCATGATTTTTATTTTTTTTTTTTTTTTTTTCCACGTAGCCAAACGCAGAGAGCGGCAGAAACCCTCAGCCCTTGGAGCTGGTCCTAACGGGAATTACAAAAAAAAAAAAAAAAAAAAGAAAAAAAAAAGAAAAAAAGAAAAAAAAAAGAATAAAAATAAATAACAACCCCCAACCCCAGCTGGATCCGCTTCCACCCAGATAACTGCCAGCCCCACAGGGGCGGTGGGACAGGGCGGCCGGCGTGGAGCTGGGATAGAGGCAGAGGGAGCGGAGCGCTGTACCGAGCCGTGGCTTGTAGCGGGAGGAGGGAGGGGAAGTTACGTTTACATTTTTCATATTTAGCCTTACCAGAAAGATTTCGATGTAGTTTAAATTAAAAAAAAAAAAAAAAAAAAAAAAGGAGAAAAAAAAAAAAAGAGGCAAAAGCTGCAGTATTAGAGTTTTAACAAGTGCCTATGTCTTAACGCGGCTGTACGTGGCAGTGAGCGGGCAAGCTCCCGTGGGCCCGCGCCCCCCGGCTTCCTCCTCTCGGTGGTGAAATGCATCGATGTGGCTAAAAATTAGGAGAATTATAATAATAAAAGTCGACGGCCGTTTCCTCCTGAGAGAGTATCCCCGGGCTGCCCCGCCAGCTCCACGTCGCCTTCTCCCGCCTGTCCCTGCTCAGCGCCTTCCTCCTCCGGCTTGTGGGGAGCCCGCGGACGACGCTGCCTGTCTCGAGTATTTGTTACCAAAAATCGCATGTGCTTTCAGGTTTATTTTCTATTGTACCTAAACAGTCTAAATTAAACAACGCTGATGGCAGAACACCCAGGCTGCGCTTTTCTTTGCAGGGACGAGCCTGTGCCCCTCTGCCCACCCGTGCCCCTCACCCCACGGGCTGCAGCGGAGGGGCTACGAGAGGAGCCGGTGCCTTCGTAACCGAGGAAGGAAAGGGAGAAGGGACCCGCCGGAGCAGTTTGCGTGGGGTCGCCCCGTGGGAGTCCGGCGCCCGGCCCGGGGGCAGCGGGTCCCCGTCGGGGCCCCGCTGTGGCCGGGCCGTTGGTGCCGGTTCCCCCCCTCTTCGCGTTTTGCATCATTAAGTGCGTGTTTATTTAAATCGCTGCCGTGTTTGTTCTCGGGGTCCTGGGCCATGGAGAAATGTCACCCTCTGCAGGAGGGTCTTGCCCGGCCGCAGCGCTCCGCGTCCATCCCGCTCAGTCTCCGCCGCCTCCGGCACCCGGACACGCTCCAGAGCCCCCCTCCCGCGGATTTCCCACCCGCGCTGGGACGGGGCGGTGGATCCGTGGCCCCCCCCTCGGCCTCCTCGGCTCTGGCTGCGGGGGAACCGGGGGCCCGGCTGCAGAGGAGGTTTCCCTCCCCCCTGGCACCGGCCGCCCCCTCGGGGCGCCCAGCCCAGATCCCGCTGGGCTTCCTGCACCCCCGACCCTTTTTGGGGGGGCACGGTCGGAGCGGTGGGGGATCCCCTGCCCCTCGGGCAGGACTCAACGCGACTCCGTAGGTGGAAGGCGCAAATACCGCGCCTGGGAGCGCAAACCGCTCGGGTGGGCGCGCATCTGCGTGTCTGTCCGCATCCACGGCCGCGGGTGGAGCCGGGGCAAAACTCGACGTCTCGGGGTGCGGGGGTGGGCACGGAGCCCCCCTCCGTGCGCAGAGACCCCGGTCCCGGCAGCGTGGCCCGGAAGGGGACCTGGAGCCGGACCCCACTGCGCGTCCCGCGGGGACGTTGGGGGGACGGGACGGTCCGTGCCCCCCGGCCCAGCCTCTCCGTCCGCCCCACCCGGGGACCCCCATCGCCCTTCCCGGGGAACCCATTCAGCCCCGCCGCGATCCTCCACAAAGCAACGCAGCCGCTCCCAGCCCCTCGGGCAGAAAGGGGGGAGCCCCCGGGGAGACGAGGGGGGTTTTTTAGGGTGACCAGCCGCGGGCTCTGCGCCCCGAGGATGGATAAGCTCCAGCTCCATTTTTTTTTTTTTTTTTTTTTCTTCCCAAGTCACGGACTCGTTGAAGAGGAAGGATAAATACTGCCCGCGGCTCCAGTCCTGCGCGGCGGGAAAGCCAAGCAGGGACTGGTAAACCAAGGGTTATTTTCAAAGCAAAAAGCGCAGAGGCGCTTCCTGCGCGCTGGCAGCGTCAGGGCTGATTTTCGGGGGGTGGGAGGGGTAGGTGCCAGGAGGTGTCCCCCTCACCCAGCCCCCCCTCTCCAACGCAGACCTGCGGGCGGGGGCCGAGGAGCGGGTCCGCTCAGCTCTGCGCAGGGCCGCGCACGTTGCGCCCCCCCGCCACCCCACCCTCTTCCCCCCCCCCGCGGCCGCAGAGCCCTGCCCACGCCCCGGCCCTCCATTTCCCTAACGGGGAGAGGGACGAGGTTGTCAGCGGGCGGATGGTGGCAAGGAGGGATGGAGGATGCTGAGGGGCCCCCCCGGAATAACACCCCCCCCCCCCCCCAACCCCAGCTGGGAAAGGGGCCGGCGGGCAGGTAGAAACCAGGGAGGCGCTGGAGCTGAGCCAGGCACAGGTTGCTGATCTCTCCTCGGTTAGGCTTGACCTCGCAGCAAGCTTTTCACAGCAAAGTCAGCCTGGGGAGGCGGCCCGGGGCTGTTTCTCACCTCACTCTGCTTTGTATTTCTACCGGCAGGAAGGAGTTAATTCGCTCCCTTCCCCCCTCCCGCTCCCGCTCACCCCCCAGGACAGATTTCACACTGTGGCCAGGTCAGCCAAAAAAGGGGAGGAAATGGAGAACAGCGGAATGATTAATTCTACCTGCTTTTCCCATGAGTGATCACCTGCTTTCGGGGTCATGAATAGCAGGTAGCTCTCTCCGTCTCCAGCTCTGAGAGGCTCATTTGTCTGGTGACAGCTGAGTGACAAGACCTGAAATCTGAGCCCTCAACTTTGCCTGATGTGTGGATAAAACCCTGGATGTTCCCTCAAACATTTCAGGAAATGAAAGTTGTAACGCGATCCCTTGTGCGCCCACATCTCCCCCAGCAACACACAAAAGCTCAAAGGAACCTTCTCGGATTAAATTCAGCCTGGAGAGGATGGAAGGAAAATGGAGAGCAGGCTGAGAGAGCTGGAACTGGCAGGCTTTTCTTCAGCACTTATTGGAAATGTCTGTCCAAAGCAGGGATTTAGAAAGGTCACCTCTACCGCAAGCACCTCTTCCTCCGGCAGAGTCAGACGGGCAGCTGCTTCTCCCCAGCCAAGCTCCACGTTGGGGGCAGCCCGGAGTGTGTGTGTGGGGGTGTTACACTTAGGTTCCCTGAGCAGGAAATTCAGTGTATGAAAACAAACACCCCAGGAGAAAGCCAGCCCCGCTCCTCTCTCATATAATTTCCCGGGTCACGGTGAGCCAGCGCTGTCCCGTGCTCCAGCGGCTCTGCCCCTGCCCCGCTGCCAGCCCCTGCCTGGTGCCCCTTCCCCGCCGCCCCCCAGCCCCGCAGAGGGGCAGGTAGGGTCCCACTCTCAGCCCCCCCCAACCCTGGGCCACGTGCTGGCAAATCCTCCACAGAGGCCCGCGGTGAGGAGCGGATGCTCGCTCAGCCGATGGATTTAAATGCAACATTTCCAGGCCTGGCTCCCTCCAGCTCGTTCATCCCTCTGATCTGCAACTCCAGGAGCCCGGAGCCGCGATGTGGTGAGGAGACCTTTGTGCTCCGTGTCTTTGCGAACCAGGCCTGCTCAGCCAGACGTCGGAGCTTCGTTTTGAGCACACGGGTTTGGAGACATCGGCAGCTGGAACGAGGCAGGGTGTGTGGTTCAGGCAGGATTGGGCCAAGGCAGCCGGTCTCCCTCGCTCCCGGGTAGGTGGTTTTATCGAGCTGCCTGTCACTAGGCAGCCAGCAGCTGCTTGCACTGTTACCCAGCCTGAAGATAAAGTACTATTTAGCAATTGTTTAACTATTATTGAAGTGCTTTGGACTCTACAGACCTGTAAAGAAAACAGCACACGCCCTGAGATAACTCTTCAACTCTGAGCTTCTCCCTTACTCCTACTTTTCTCCGGAGAGCGGCTCACAGACACTGCACAGGCACAGGTGGAAACCTCCCTCTCTGTCTACCCGGTACACATCACCGTCAGTAATTTTGCATCCGAGGAAGAGCTCAGTATGAAGTGACGTGGCTGGAGGCTGGGTCTCTGCATACGCTACCTCCAGAGGCCGGTGCTTTAACCTGCCCGACGCGCGTGGATGCCATTAGCAGCAGCAGAGGCAGTAAAGGTACAACCGACACAGTGCTTGGCCGACCTGGCTGCAGCAATCCATCTTCAAGGGTGGATTTTACTGTTCCTGCTGTGGCCAAAGCCATCAGGTTTTCTGAGAGCACCAGGTGTTGTGTGGGGACAGCAGAGGTGGCAGGGGCCAGATCTACAGGAGCATTGCTTCAGCTCAAGTGTACAAAGTAACCTGAGACACCATCATCTTTCCCAACTGGACATAGATACAATTTTAAATATGAAAACAGAGGAAAAATTGCTTTAATCTTCAGGCAGAGAGAGCAAATTACCAGGCTCCCCAGACATTATCAGTGCTCGCCCCAACAGCCGCCTGATGCTGTCTGGGAAGAGGGCACCAGGCTGAACCCCCATCCCGTGCCACCCTGTCTTTCCTTCCAGCTGGACTTGTCACCAAGCACAGGAAGATTTCCTCTCTCCTCATGGTTTCTCGCATTTGCTCCCACCTCCCCAAATTTTAAACAGAGGTTGAACTTTCTCCGAAGTATATAATCCCAATCCTGATAATGATGATAGAGAGGCAGATTTAGTTCAATCACGATTTCCTGTTTTCACTTGCCAAACACCCCTGGAAAATGCCTCCATGGGCAGAGCGGCTCCTTCCCATCTCTGCCTTCACTTCTCATCTACAGCCCAGACCTGCAGGGTTCAGGGTTGCTTTGGTACGGTGCTGTACCTGCTCAGACTCCCATGGCTTTCATCATGCTAGAAAAGGTATAGAAAATCCTCATGCCTGCTTCTCAGGATGGAAGAAAGGGGAAAAACTCACCTTTTTCCGACTTAAGGATGGAAAAGCTTTTAAGCTAATAGCTGGAGCGTGTGTCGTCCATGTTTTACAGGAGAGGAAACTGAGACCCAGGGAGACAACAGACCTGCTGAAGGTCAGAGCAAGGGCAGATGACAAAGCAGGGAGGGCGGCTGCCCCGCGCCAGCGGCTGGTGCTCCGCACGCCCACGCTGCCTCCCTTTATAGTCCCCATAATAAGTCGCTGCAGCTTATCATTATGTAATACAATATTCCTAATAATACAAGACAAAACCAATTGACTAAAAAACAATGCCAAATGAGGCTTGTGGCTAACACTCCCTGAAGAAATTGTCTCTTTTCTAGAATTGAAAAAAAAAAAAACCAAGCAAATTAGAAACAATCGAAAAATGAAATCACATCTGCAAACCATCAGG